TGCAGGACCCCTGGGGCTCATTTCCCTTCTGGCTCTCCCTGCAGGGCCGGCCGCACCCTGGGGGGAGCTGAAAGGCAAACTCAGCACCTCTGTATGAAGGGCTGTGGGGATCACCCACATGTCAACCTTAATTCGGGGCTCGGGGTTCAAACCCAGCCTTTCACTGTGGCACAGCAACACCTGCCCAGCAGTGCCCGGGGCGCAGCGGTTGGTACCTGCAGCGTGGCACGGGCCCGAAGGCCCAGGGGTGGCTGCAGCACAGGCCACAGGCCCCTGCCCAGCCATCAGTTCTTACCTCGTGTTGCTGTGTGCTTGCTAGCAGAGCTTTCCAGAATATGAGAAAAAACCTTCTTTTGAGCTGTCTCTCCTGTGCTGTATGATGCCACCTCATCCAGCCCGTGCTCAAAAGGTTTTGCATCTCCTAGAACAAGATTGCTGGTTTGAAAACTGTGCCCATGTTCTCCTAGTTCTCCAAAGCAGAAACAAGGGATTGCTACCCAGGGTCACCTTAGTGTACAAGTGTCTGCACTCAGGTCATTTAAAGGACAAGAAATTTCTCCTTCCACTGTCCCCCCAACCAAAAAGGTAAACACAAATATATAAATAAACATATAAATATATATATAATTTATTTTTTTTTGTCAAGCAGCTTGAGTTTTAGCTTCCTGGTTGGCATGTACCCTGCTAGTGATGGGTTCCCCTATGACTTTGAATCAATTTAGGCTTCTGCCCTCACATCCAGCCAGCCCTGTTCCCCAGAAAGGAGTTTCACTAATTTGAACTTAAAATGTTCTTTCCTCTTCCTTTTTTGAACCGAGAAGTATGTGAACACTGCAACCCACAAGAGCTTTTCCTGCTTTTCCCTGTCCCAGCGACTGCAGATCAGAGCTGCAGCTCATGGAAAATTTCCAATGGAGGAATACAGGGCTACAAGGAAGGAGAGTATGAAATCAGGTCCCAAAATCTTGAATCTCTGTTGGACCTTTTATCAAGTGGGATATATTCAGAAGCATTTAGACCTCAAGCTGGTTAGATGTCCTCTTTAATTACAGGTATAACTGCAAATATAGCAGATGGTAAGAAATTAATTGAACAGGTGATTCTCTAGGC